GCAGCGTTCGTAACTTAATGTTTGGTGGTCGTGACGACTAGAATCCAGAGGTTAGCCAGCGCATTCGGTCGCCGTGATTGTGCAGAGTGGACGGGGAGAAGACATACCGGCAGGAACAATGATGACAATGAGTAAGCAGATAATGCAGATGACCAGGCACACGCGCATCTTCATGTCCTTCCACCACATTTGCTTCCTCACGCGGTTAGCGCCCCGACGGAAGCCCTGGGCAGATACAGCCAGGTTGTCTGTCTTGTCCTGCAAAGAGTCCAGGCGTTCGCCACGCTCCGATACCTTGAAAATATTCGAGCGCATTGTATCGACGGTCTCTTGAATTTTCTATTGGGTAAGGGGAACAAAGTCAGTCAAATGGTTCAGAATGAGCATTGAAAAACATAAAGCCTCGGCCGCCAAAAAAGGATAGCGCTCGTGCGACATGACAAGTCTTGAAACTTGCCACATAGCCTCAAAATTGCAACCCCGGGCCGTAGAGATTATTCTTTCAGTGCCCAGAGACAGGTCAATTCACTTACTTTGTCGATTTCCCTTGTCCGAGGGTCGCCATTCTGCGCTGCGCTGCCGGCGCTGGCGGAAGGCCCATTAGAGCCAGAAGGGATATAAGGATCGTAAGGCTGCTCAGACATGATGGCTTTCGAGGATGAAATTCGTTATATCCTGAGTTCGAGTGGTGAGAGCTTGTGGATCACCGACTCTGCTTGGAGGCTTGCGAAGACCTGTTTGGGAGTCTTCTTTCGCAGAATAAGATGTCGTAAACGTCGTAAGACAGAAACCAGGGGCAAACGTGTAAATAATAGCGGACAGGAGTGCCTTGTAGGCGTAGTGAGAGGTCAATAGTTAGAGCGATGGTGGAGTGAAGCTGACAGGGTGTGATAAATCGCCGCCCGCCTTCTGGAGATTGGAAGCGGGTTTGGTTCAATCGGTCCTGGCACGTGACAGGCTAGCCACTCGTTGCCCAGACACTTCTTAGGCAGCTATTTTTATCGTGGAACGTACAAAGAAGGGAAGAGAACTTCATACAACAGTGCCCGAAGAAGTCGACGCTGCTGGAAGTAGTACATTGACTAATCTACATAATGCATAATTGTGCAACGTTTCTGGCATTTTTCTAGGATGTAATATCTCGTAACATCGTCACTTGGTTGAAAGGAAGAAGCCCATCAAGAGGACGACGGTGAACTCTGCATACACGTGCCTCTCGATAGTATCTACAGAGCACGGAGTACGACTTCCACCAAATCAGCAAGAGGCTGTGCAACAACTGAGCAGACGTCTGTTTTTTGACAACCCGCCACAGCCAAGAAAGCTACGTTCGTCTGATCTCGGGCTGAGAAACGACGTCCTAAGATTTGCAATGCAGCCACATCAGATATCAAGGTTAACCAGGCTCCTTCCCTCCATGTCATCTCGAGAGTATAGCTGCGGCGGAGCCGGAGCCAAGGAGACAACCCACATCTCCGCGAATCGCCAAGACCTATCGATTTACTCCATGCCTACTTATCTACTCCGTACTGTGCTCGGCATGCGTCAAGGATCGTTCCTATGTCGTTACATTGGTCCTGTGTATACATATTACCATGTCTTCCGTGTAAAATGATCATCATGATAACTCAGAGACCATGAACGGTGTTGTCCCGTGGATCCGGTCGGGAACAAGAATAGCCCTCATCCACTGATGACTTTCTGCAGCGATTCCAACTCAGAAAACGTACTCGCAAAAAGACGCTTGAAAGATCTCGGTCGCTGATTAGGACTCTGATTTACCGCCATTATCATAAATGGGCGAAATGAGGTGTACTGTGCACGTCGTATCCGGGAGTCACCTACGTCGTTCGCTTGTCTCCTCGGCTACAGGACAGGAGCCGAGCCACTCGATGCTTAGTTATGATTAGACAGTTATCGATCTTTTCTCTGCGTACTTCTGTGACGATTGCCCAAAGTGCTTCCAGTCTGCCATCATACCCTCTGAATCGGATACACCCAAGCTCAATCACGCACTGGTACTCTCATCGCTAACTTGCAATGATACAGACCAATTGTTCCGATGCGAGGGAAGCTCGATCGGAGGGGATAGTCAGAGGTCCCTTAAGGCACGCAACGCATGTTCTTGCGATTCAGAAAGAAAGGGTTGGTACCGACCTAGCCGGATGGCTCCTGGTAATGTTCACATCATAATATACATAAGCTTTTGGTAGCACCGGGGACATCAGTAATGGATATGAATACAAGCAAAGTGAAGACGATAGGGGCAATGCTCTGCTAAGCAGATCTTACTCAGGCCGTTCATGGCAATCTGATTTCAATGCAAACGCGCCATATTCAACGGCTCATTTCTCCCCCAGCAACTCCTTCCGCATCTCTTCCCGTTGTAACCTGGCGTCCTCCTTCGTCTGACTCCGTTGACTCTCGATCTCCGCGCGCTTCTGGTCTTGCTGTTCCTGCGCAGCGAACCAAACTGTAATGCAGAAATATTAGGAAATCACCTCCTAGATGCCAACCGGTGTAGTTAAGGACGCACTCGACTTATCGGACTTGGACCATTGCTTCAACCGCGTAACATATTCATCAAACTCTCGAGCGCGGCGATCGCCTTCCTCCAAGCTCCGCTTCTGAAGATCGGGGTTGTATCGCTTGAATAATTCCTCGTCGGTAGGTCGAATGGATTGGACGAATGCTGGGCCGCCGACGCAGATCACGGTTCCACTGTCGACAGAGAGAGACACAATTGTCAGAGGCGCATAACGGGAAATCGCTTAACCATGCTAAAAGAGAGTCCTTACGCGACCAGCATCTTTAACCAGGTTCCTGTCCGAGACATAGTGGGCTATTTTCAGCAACAGCTATGACGACACTCTGCTAGGAATATGAATGCACGGGAAAAAGGCAGGTCGGGACGGAAGATGCCGATGTCGAGAGAGGTGGTTTAGTCAACGTCGTTTCCGCGACACTCTCGGATATGACGGAGCCGACTTCAAGTTTGCAGCTGGTTTAGAGGAGAGCGATGTGTGGAGCGGTTATGACCTTCGCTTCTATCGGATAGCATCAGTAGCTCGGTAGCAGGTGGGAACATCATCCACGACCAATCTGTGGCTTAGCTGCTGAGGCTGTGTTCAATGAGCACATGTGGCACAGTTGACGGTTCTCTCCGAATCGTCACCGGTCGTATTCGTTTTCCGTGTTCCGATTTGAATCCCTTTCTCCGCAATCCACACCTCCCGCAGCGCCGATTCGCTAACAACTAACAGTGTTGAACTGTATGGAGTAGGGTGTAGTGGGTACTCACTTTCCACTCTTACATTCGGAGTATTCATCCAGCATTAGCTGATATTACCAGAAATGCACGAAGAAACGTACCTTTCAGCAATCAATTGCGAACCAGCTTCAAGTGGTCATGTTTGAAGCTGTTACAGAAATCCCCTCGCATTGGTGCAGATGATCACATCTGCTAAATTACAGTACTCTATACTATGCAAGGGACGTATCAATAAGCGGATCTCGATAACAATCGTTAGGCACGATCTCATAATGTCCTGCGCAGAACTATCTTGCCTGATGGCTGATGCAACTGGGACATCTCAGGAATCACCCCCTGAAGATCAACACAAGGATGACCAACTAATTGATATTCCATCAGTGTCATCATACGGAGTACGGAGGACGTGAGACTTGTCTCACTAGTCTTCGAGCGTCAGCCTATGACAACATTGTCACATGTATTGGCAGTAGATATGGATTTTTACACTGGCAATGAGAGGATACTAAGGTAGTAGTAAAAAGATTATCAATAATAACTGTTAGATTCGCGTCCACAAGGCATCAAGAAAGTGGCCTCTGGTCCACAGAAATGTAGAATAAAGCAAGTGGGTCAAGGGATAAGGATGGATTAGAATTATTGTCATCACTGTTTCACACAGTGTTTAATACAGCCGACGAAAGGCTAATGACTCAAGGATATGCACTTGGTGGTATCCTCTCGTATGCATTTCGATATACCATGCAAGCGCAGCCAAGGGTGTTTAGGAAGTAAATGTTCTCCTTAATCAAATCTTGCATGTAATCTGCAGTTACGTTTTATTCTTTCAAGGGAGCCTGACGAGTTGTGTCTATAACAATAATACTGGATAATCCACTGTAGATTTTTATTACTTAGCTCTTAGGTAGAACAATGGTTCCTTGGATTCTCTGTTCTTGGTCTACGGAGTAATAATCAAAGAGATCCCAAGACTACCTAAGTATCTCCTTCTTTTTCATCCTTAATTGCTCCAAACCCCACCACTAAGAAACTAGTGAGCCGCGATTGTCAAAATAAATTGCTGCCGTCCCTCTTGTCAATCTCTCAAAACCCGAGGGTGTTTGTCCTTGGTCACACGCTCTTTTCACAGAAGGTGGTGGTTTTCACCTTAGACGCTCGTTCTCGTTCGCAATTAAATTCGCCGTTGATTTTCAGCTTCATTCCAATCCGGAGAATCAGCATTGCTGCGCGTGGATAGTCGACTGGTCAGTCCTCGCATCGTCAGTCCGATCGCAACTCAGGATCTCAGTAGTAGTCCTGTTGCGACAGATCGCCAAAAAGTGTCTATCCGCTGACAATAATGTATCTTTTCCTAATGCAGGATTTGCGCGCCCTCCACTACTTGCATGATCGGGTGGATTACATTTCTTTCATCCCCCCTTGCTGAAACCTTGTGTGCTTGTAACTCGGTATCTCCGCATCTTTTCTGCCCGCCGTTCAAGGCCGCTTTCGGTCATTCTCAGGTCCGCACCACACCCCTCCTCCTAATCTCCGTTTGGCTCTAAGTTCGCGCTGGACTGACGGTGTTATGGATGCTATAAAGTCTTCGCCAAAAAGCGTTCTTGCGGGGCCGCCGTGAATTTGTCATCATTTACTTCCTTGAGACCACGAAAGATCAAGCCTGGCGCCGACCCATCAATTCACGACGACTACCGAACCATCCGTTAATCGATAAGAGCTCTCACCGATAATGGCATACCCCCCGCCTCAGTCGCAGAGGCCTCCTCCGGTCAGAAACTATGGCCCTCGCCCTACACCACGAGGACCCCCGGCGCCAAGTCAGATGCAAGACGGGTCTTATGACCAAGGATACAGTGACTACAACTATGGGTCTCGTGGTGACCGAAGTTACGACAACGCCGGGTACGGTTACCCTGACGATCGAGCTGTTCCAAGATCTCATGGGGCACCGCGCGGCCCTCCGCGACCCCCTCGTGGAGGTTATGGTTCTCCTGCAGAGCAGCCTCATGATCGAAGCTATGCCTATAATGGACGATCACCACCCGGCCCCGACAGTCGTCGCGGCTACGGAGACAGGAGGCCACCTCCAAGGCAGGACCAGACGAGACCGTGTAAGTGAAAGCGATATATGCACAACCGACTTCCCTGAGCAAGTGTTGATGGAAAGGCTTAGCTGGACGTCCGCCCGCACCGGAGCAGGAGAGAATGGCATGGGATAACCCGTTCCCCACGTTTCCAGCCCAAGAGGCGCGCGGCGCCCCCGGCACCAGAGGTATCGAGAACGGTATGGCGGCGATGAAGCTCAATGGCCAGATGCCACCCGGCAGCGCTCCCGATCGCCCGCACACTTCGCACGGAAGACGCGATGTCCCTCGGCAAGCCGGTTCTACATCGCCTGGTCGAGGGAGGGGGGGCTATCCTGGTGGTCCTATGAGGTCGGCCAGTGCAGGACGCTCCGGCCGGCGACCTTCGGATGCCTATGAGCGGTCCTACACTTCCGCCAGTGAGCCGCCACCGGTGCCTTACATTAACAGAAGTGCTACGATGCCCGTTCATTCGGCATCGCCCACGTCCTCTGTTGCCCAACCCACATATCCTGGGCAGCCCACCTACCAGGACCCTAACTCATCGAATGATTACAGTGATACCGATGAACTACTGAGTTATTACAGAACCGCTCATGCCGATGAGTCCGACATGCCTAATTTTGATGCTATCCCTGACGGCGGCAAGGTCATCGACGAGAATCTACCAGGGCTAGAACAGCCGAAGCCGAAAGCGAGAGCACCTGCTGACCCTGCCGCCTCCTCCCAAGGCCAGTATGCAGCTTTCAACACGCACTACGGTACTACCGATCAGTACCCTCAGTCGCAACACAATATTGCTGGGGTCGGTACACCGAACCACTTTGATAGTGCAGGGTTCCAATTCGACCTACCCGGTAACCCACCATCAGCTTCCCCTGTCCGAACTCAAGGCAGTATGGACCATGGCTACAATGGGCAACCGGATGCTTACGAGGATCCGATGAATAATCAATATATGCAACAACAGGGCAGTGGAGGGCCTGCCGTTCCTGCCTATGGAAACGGACCTCCTCGACCCTACAGGGTCAATCAGCCTGGATTTACAAATGAGCAATCACAGATGGTCAATGAGATAAACGAGTTCGATTCGCAACAGAATCCGGACGCCCTGCCTCATCACCCTGCGCCTTTCCGACCAGGGCACGACCAGGGGAGCAAGCCGCCTCCTGTGCGGCAGTACGACAATAGTAACACAACGGGATCTCCAACCTCCATGGTCCCGCAGACCCAGCCTATCGCTCAGCCGGACCCCGCGCCTACGCCTGTCACTCACCAAGAGCTTGAGCGCTTGCAGCAAGTGGTACGGAGCAAAGCTGCTGACCCGAAAACTCAACTTCTATTGGCACAGAAACTGGTTGAGGCCTCGACGGTCCTTGTCGAAAATAGCAGGATGGATCCAAAAACCAAAGCTAGGGCTAGAGAAAAATACATCATGGATGCGCACAAGATCGTCAAAAAGTTGGTATCCAGTGGTTATGCAGATGCTCAGTTCTACCTCGCGGATTGTTACGGCCAGGGTTTATTGGGCTTGCCGGTAGACCCGAAGGAAGCTTTCAACCTCTATCATTCCGCAGCAAAGCAAGGGCACGCGCAATCCGCTTATCGGGTTGCCGTGTGCTGCGAGATTGGCCAAGAAGAAGGCGGTGGAACGAAGCGAGATCCGTTCAAGGCAGTGCAATGGTACAAACGCGCTGCTTCCTTGGGAGATACTCCTGCTATGTACAAGATGGGAATGATTCTCGTCAAGGGCCTCCTAGGCCAAGCCAAAAATCCTCGCGAGGGTGTTTCATGGCTCAAACGTGCGGCCGAGCGTGCTGACCCAGAAAACCCACATGCTCTCCATGAGCTTGCGCTTATGTATGCAAACGCAACTGACAATGACGTCGTCATTCGTGACGAAGCGTATGCCAGCCAACTGTTCCATCAGGCTGCGGAACTGGGTTACAAGTTCTCTCAATTCCGACTTGGTGCTGCCTATGAATACGGATTGATGGGTTGTCCGGTGGATCCCCGACAGAGTATCTTCTGGTACACGCACGCTGCAGCACAAGGGGAGCACCAGAGTGAGCTTGCTCTGAGCGGGTGGTATCTGACAGGTTCTGAAGGCATTCTTCAGCAAAGCGACACTGAGGCCTACCTTTGGGCGCGCAAAGCAGCCACCGCAGGTCTTGCCAAGGCAGAATATGCGATGGGTTATTTCACCGAAGTTGGCATTGGAGTCGCCGCCAATCTGGATGATGCCAAAAGATGGTATTGGCGAGCAGCTGGTGAGTTCTTTCCCGTCTTCTGTCTGCGGGCTCTGTGTATCAAGCTAATGTGTTTACTTCAACCCATCAGCCCAAGGTTTTCCCAAGGCTCGGGAGCGTCTCGAGGAAATCAAGAAAGGCGGGGCTCGCATGCAAAAGACCCGTCTCTCTCGCTCCGCTGTCAATCGGCAACAGAACGAGGGCGATTGCGTCCTCATGTGAACTCGGATTCATGCGTCATGTATTTCACGAAGTTGGCTTCCTCATGCACCTGGGCTTTTCCTTGTTTTTAATCATAAGGCGTTGCTCTCTTTCGTCGGTTAGATTGCTTGTTTTGCCTGCATTTGACGCATATACCCCTAATGACATTACCAACTTCGCATATTGACCCAATGTCTAATGTTGAAAAGGTGCCATTTCGGAGACGAATGCTCCGCTTGTACATTTGCTCTTCTGTCTCCCTTTTTTTTTTTTTTTTTTTTTTTTTAATT